GGATGGACAAGCTTCAGGGATTTTGGATTGGGAACACAACAAAACACTAACACTCAGGGATTTGGGAATAGTCAGAGGCCTACTAATATCGATGATTCGTTTTTAGATCAAATCAATGAATTGTTAAACGAATTCAATCAATGGCACCAGCGTGACCAAGAAGAACAATAATGTCGTCTATCATTTTATTTTTAGATCATATGTTACTAATTTTATGCTTTATTGTAGTCCATGTATGTTGATATACTTATTCCATGATAATTCTATGTTTATCCTTTTGTGTGATGTAAATTAAATGCTGAATGACGGTTCATGCAGGGAAAGAATATATCAATATTCGCATATTCATTCAAAAACATGAAAATTCTTAATGGAGTACCCTCATTTCTTATTGAATTCCTAAAAAACAATATTTATAATGAATTTTAATAATTTTTTCGGATTTTTTTAAGCTTTATTCTAACCGATTCACCCGATTCTCGATCCGAATCGCCGATTCGCCGATTCGGATGGGTTTTTTGGGTGCCCGATCCGGGTCACCGATCCAGTTTTTAAACCATTGATCAATTGTATTATTTTGGGTTAAAAAATAGGGCTTGGCATAATTGAGCCAGTTCAAGGGTGTTGAAGATCCTAATCTAGGCTAGAGGGCTACTACTCTAGGGTTTAAGCTAATATAAGGTATTATGGATAGGTTTAACCTATTGAGCAGTTTTCTAGCCTAAGGTTTTATTAACGGGTTAGGCTAAATAGAAAGGTTTATTTCAGGTTAATCAAGGCTCCTTAAGGATGGGGGCCTTCTATGGGATTTCTAGGTTGTTTCCTAGTGTGCATGGAGTATGGAACATGGTGCACTACAGACTACTGGACAAATATGGTTCCTAGTGTGGTTTAGACGGTAACTAGCTATTTAGATGGGACAAAAGCTAGGTTTTAGGTCTGGGAAGGTGACTAGGTTTGGGCCTATATTTAGGGTTGCATGTATCTTGGCGTCCCCTTAGCCACAATATGGTATCTACATGATGCATGTTGTAGATATGAGAAGGAAACTCATTTCTTTAGTGCTTTGGACTCTAATATTCTTTCTCAAACGAAAAAGAATTCATTTAGATGAGGTTAAGGAGTGAGAAATAAGAAGAATGGATGAACTTGTATGTGCTGCTTGGGGGCAAAATTTATCGAGCAAACATTTCATTATATGGTAATGGTGTTTTAGAACTGAATCAACTATGATCACATGTCTAGGTTGCATGAGTGAGAGGATTGGCAAGTTGTGCAAACACATATTACTTAAGGGCATGAAGAAGTGCAAGTTGATGAAGTACAGATGGTATCAACAATTTGACATCTTCATGATCATAGAAAGGTTTATTACAACTAAGTATGATCAATTATTTTCATTTTTTAAGATATTTCCTAAACGTTCTTTCATCTGTTACGGATGATACCCCTATTGCTACCAAGAAACGTTTTATAGACACCCTGTTCTCGCCAAGGAGAATTCTTGATGCTCACAACACTAGTCTCTAGGACTAAGACCTAATCACCTTCCGAGACCTAAAACCCAGTGTTCAGCCCACCTAAGTATCTTGTTTTAGTCATCCTAGACAACTCAAGCCAAACAAACGCATAAAACTACCTATTGCACCCACTTGACATCTAAACATCTAAAAACCGATACCTTAGAATTATAACACCACAACCCCATCAAAAGTTAGCAAATTGAGCCTAATTTAGGTTTAAGTTGTATAGGAAGCTTTCAAATAGTCCAAGAATCAACTAAGATACACAATTTGAAAGTTCCATTACATCCTTATGAGTGTGGCACCCATGTGTCGTGCGTGATGCATCATGCATCGTAGAGGCCATTTCAACCTAGTTATTTTCTATAAATCTTTGATTTTGAGACAATGTTGTGTTGCCTATAAAATGAGTCCCATTGCACACTTAAAAACAACATGAAATATTCCATTTATTGCCTAGAGCCCCCATGACTTGAGTCGTATGATTGTGCTTGTAGCACGGTATGATTGATGGTCAAATTAAGCCGCCACTTGGATCCCCAACCCTAGCCCTAGGGTCAAGTACCCTGCAATCCTTTTGCATCGACCATGCTTCTGCAAGCCTAAAAGGAACCTCAAAAGCATCATAACCTGGCATATGGTGTAACATTGACCACCATAGATATTCCCTACCTCCAATGCATTAATTTTCATCAGTCCTACTCAACTCTTAACCATTGTTGAAAAAAGTTTATTTGTAAAATATCTGCAAATTAAGGGCCCAATTTTTAATTTTTTTTTTTTTACCGCACTGAAAATGTATTTTAAAAAGAACAAATGAATTTAGAGAGGGACAAATAGTCATTGAGATGCAACACTTGGCCATTCTCTCTACAAGTGTCTCTCAATTTTCTTAAGTGACTATTTATGAAAAGGGTTTGGAGAGATTTAGGGACTTTACACAAGCTCCCTATCTCTCTCTCTCTCTCTCTAAAACCTCTTTTTCTTTATTAAGCTTCCTTTTGAGCTGGGTACATGGACGTGTCTCTCATATCTGTGGGAGTACTTCAATGTTACATGATAAGATTAAGCACCATGTTGCCTCTCACAACACTTTTTTCTCTCTAGATTATTTGCTAACACTAGTTTTGCCGCAAGCTTCCCTTCCCTCTCCTACATATATTGATAGAAAGCCCACTTCCAATAGTTTTCTCTCTCTAGAAAGGCTACAAACTGGGCTTACAAATCTCTATGACTTTGGTGAGTTTGTTCTATGTTTTTGTTCAAATTTTATATCTAAAATATTAATTGAAGTAGGGGAAGGTTTTCATGAGCAAGGAGAAAAATATAGGTATCATTTTTTTTTGTTGGAATGATCTACATTGGGTTCTGATGACTAGGTACTTGCTGGAAATTAGTTTGGGGTGCTTGGATAAGATTTACAACAATTGCAATCAATTTGGGGCTTTGATTCATCTGTGCATGACAAAGTTAGTGATCTTAGGGCATCATTTTTATAGGCCCAAAGAGATTTAGAAGAAGCTATTTTTTATTGTTTTTTATAGAGAAAAAAAAGATTGCATCTCATGTGTTTGATGATATTTCTTGTTGAGTTCAAAACCCGATTTACACGTTACTTTAGCTCTATTTACTTTTGAAAACCAAAATATCTGTTGTATTTGGCCCAACAAGACTGAACATCTCTGGGTGAAAGACTCTGTAAGACAAAAGGAACAGTTCCTCTGCAATGTGTCCCGTTTAACTCAGGCCCCAAATCTAAGTGCCCTGCATGCCCTAACTTAACCAAATGTATATTTCCCCTCACTTTTTCTTATTTCATTTCATTTGCTTATATAGAATAGTTTGTCATTTTTCAAACATTTCAAAACCTTGTCTTTTGTTTTCCAAATATTTCTTTAGTTTTTATGTGTATCTCTTGCTAGAATGGCTAGCGGATAATATAAGGAAGGTCAAGATGCCAATATATAATTCAAAATCACCCCCTCTACTTCTACTAAATTTTAATTTGATCTTGTTCTGGGTGCAAATCAAGAAGATTTTTACGTTTAACACGTTTCGAAAACCATAAGTTGGAGGGCCAAGTTAGCAGAAAATTTGAAATGAAAGATTCAACTATAGTAAAGAAAATTTCAGTCATGGAGATATATAGGGATTGGAAGGGTAGATAGATTGTGGTAATCTTAGAAAGAGTACATTGAGAAAGTTCTCATGGACTTTAGTACAATTGAAAGTATTAGTATGCAATCGTTGGCTAGATATTTCATGTTGTTAGCGTTATTAGTATGCATATGGTTAATCTAGAAAATGAGCATTTGATGTCACACAATGCTTTTTTTTGTTACTTGAGGGGTGCGTTAAATGGTGGTATGGTGTTTAATAGCATTAACAAGATTAGTGACAAAAGCAAGGTTTTTAAAATCGGTGATCCATATTGGAATTGTCCAATCTGAATAGGGAATCAGTGGTGACCGACTTAGTTCCTAATCAAAACTAGGAATCAGTTCGGTTCCCACGAAACTGGCCTATTTTGTTAGCGAACCTACCAGTTCTGTCAAGGAACCCAGTCGTGGTTCCCACATATTTCACTTTTATTATTTTTGTTTTTTTAATTTCTTTATTTTTTATTAACCGATTCTCAACAGGGAGAATACATTTGTCGATCCGAACCGGTTTTCTAGATTCCGATTTGGGTTTTAAGACATCGGTGACAAGGTTATTGGATATCTATATATTTATTTCACAAGTGATTTGGATAATAGAAAGTTCACTACTAGTCATGTGCTTACACCTGCAGGTGCTTTGATTAGTTGGAGGTTGATATACAATCCATTGACTGTCTTGCATACTTTTGAAGCAGAATACATGGCCTTTACATAAGGCAACAAAAGAATCCACATCGCTTATGGGACTTGCAAGTGACTTTGGCTTGCAACAAATATGAGAGTCATTTGTTGTGATTGATAAAGTACCATAGATTTGGTGAAAATTAGGTTTAACATGTAATGATGAAGCATCGTAACGTGTGTGAGATAATACGAGATGATGATATCTCTTTATTAAAGATTTATACCAAGTTGTTTTTGCAAATACGTTAATAAATTTGGTTCCTTTAAAAATTTCAAGGGAAATTTATCAAAATATCTATAAGAGATAAACTACTTAACATTTTATCTATGCCTTTTTTTTTTTTTAATATCAAAACTCCTATTAAAAAAACACATGATCTTGGGTTGGAATAATTGTAAATGAGTAAAATGTTAGATGATTCATCTCTTATGTGTATTTTGAAAGATTTCCAAACTTCAAGCTTTCCTTAGACTGTGGTGATATGTTCTTGGTGCACCCTATTGGGTGGATGCTGAAGAAGATGGTTGTTGAGCATCTCATTTTATGGTGTTTTAGTAGAATCAAAGAGAAGGTGGAGATTTATTTTGCATATGCCCCTATAAGTCTATGGTGTAACCTAATATCTATGGAATGCTGACATAGGGGCATTGTGCTTAGATATGGTTGTGTTTGGATTGGGCTATGGTTTAAGCTATTATATAATGCTCTTTTGTGTTTTTCAATTAGAGAGAGAGATTTGTTGAGAGAGCCATTTTATACCTTTTTGGAGTGGCTATAACAAAAATATACATTGTCTTCCCTCATGGAGGTACTTACATATATCTTGAACTACATAAATCTTGGTGTTTTTCTATTCTATTTTTTTGTTGAGATTGCTTTGGGTTAGGAATGTCCGTTCTATGTGGGAGGACTTCCACATTTTTCTCATTAAAGGGCACTTTGGGAATTTAAATTATTGGGTTGTTATGAATGGATAACCACTCATGTGAATTGGTTGTTATGAAATATTATATCTTATCTCTTTAAAAATAAAATGATGATAAATATACCCTCCCATATAAAATAAAATAACAACTAAGTAAGATGATGTAGAGATTTTAGAAAAACAAAATCTCATCCCACATAAAAGGGAAAGCATACTAGTGCTCTTCCCAAAGTATTGTAAGTGCCTCTTCTTTGGGCATACCTTTGAGTTTATAAGAGATAAAGAGAACACCTCTTTTGGGTACATAAGAGATACACAGATATTTTTCCTAAAGAAAAGAAGAAGGAGAAAAAGGATAAGTGATCATTCTCTTAGATAGGAGAAGAAGAGAAAAAAAAAAAGATATAGTGTCTCATAAATTTGGGTCCCGCTCCGGGTATTCACATTCGTGTGAGAGGGCCCGAAAGGGTGAACGTAACACTTTGTGTGGTTGACTACTTGTGGCATAGTTGTTTTTATTTAAAACAAAATCTAAAATAGGAAAGTGTATATTACAAGATAGGAAAGAGATATTGCTCTTTCCTTTTGAGAAGAGAATGCAACAAGACAGTATGTGTATATTGCAAGATAGGAAATGTATATTGCACTATTGTTTTACCATTATATATACAATAATAGAACCACCACAAGAGATATGTGGGGCACAATTATTTTCTTAAAGAGTTCCTCTCTATATGAGAGTTAATCCTGTTTTTCATGCCCGGACAAAGCACATTGAGATAGACTATCATTTTGTACATAAAAAAGTTGCTTGGATTACTTTATTTCTTCTCGCAATCAAGTAGCTGATACTTTCACCAAGCCTTTGCCACGATATATTTTTTTTTTTGCTCTTGGATTATTTATCACTCATTTTGTTTCTTCTTTTTTTTGCTCTTGGATTACTTATTACTCATTTTGTTTCTTCTCGCAATCAAGTGGCTGATATTTTCACCAAGTCTTTGCACCAAGTCTTTGCCACAAGAATTTTTTTTTTTCCAGAACTTTACGCTCACAATCAAGTAGTTGATATTTTCTGCAAGCCTATGCCACAATCAAGTAGCTAAGAGGGATTATCAGAAACAAAATCTAAAATAAGAAAGTATATATTATAAGAGATATTGCTCTTTTCTTTTGAGAGGAGAATGTAACAAGATGGGAAAGTGTAATTGCAAGATGGGAAAGTGCATATTGTATATTCCACTATTGTTTTACCATTATATATAATTAACGAACCACTACAAAAGATGTGTGACATTATTTTATCAAAGAGCTCCTATCTCTCTCTAAAATTTCTATAGTTTTTCTTTCATTTTTTTTCCATATTTTGATCCCTTTTGCAAGGGTTAAGGTTTCACAATGAGAGGGTACAATGTCACTTTTATCCACTTGTAATTGGTAAGGATCCAAAAATATCTATACAATTATCTTGCTTTTGTTAAACAAGAAATAAATCTTGGTCCTAAAAACAAGATTCTGAACTGGTTTTTTAGTTTTTCAATCCACAAAATAGACAAAGTTTGACGTGAATCCACAAAGGCCTACTCCATAAACAAACCCCACATAGTTGGAGCAAAAGAGATCACATATAATGAATAAATCACCCTTCATTGAGCTATAATGACCTAAAAACTGAAGCATCTAATAAGTTAATAAATGTTATGAGAAAGAATAAAAAAACTTTGAGTTCCACAATAATTTATGTTCAAAGCTTCTTTTCTATATGTTTCCATCTAAGGACGAGGCAAGGGCTTCCCTTTGAGGAAAGCATTTACAAGGGTGAGGGATCTTGCAGGTTGGTAGCTAGGAACCTCATGTCCCGCCCCCCTAACAGTTGCAAATGTTAATCCACCATTGTATATCACACTATAACCTCCAACCTGTGTGCATAAACAAAAAATAGAACTTGTTAAAATTCATCTTATAGTTGTAAGTCTTTCTCTCTCTCAATCACACACAAGCACTTTTGAGGGAGCCATTGAGCAGCTTGAAAAAGCTTGGGCTCGCCAGAAAAAGCAGATGAGTTTCGAATGAATGGATACTCTGAGATAGAATGAGAAAAAAGGAATTCAATCATGCACATAGGCACTTTTGAACACCCCTGCCCAATGGATACTCTGAGATAGAACGAGAAAAAATAAATTCAATCACACACATAAGCACTTTTGAACACCCCATGCCCTCTCTATCTCTCTCTCAATCATTCACACATTGACACTCTTGAACCCCCCCTCTCTCTATCACACCCACACTTGAATCCCTCTGACTCACATTCAAAGGGGCACACCCTTTGACACTTTAGAGAATAACAAAAGAGTTTAGATTCCTGACCTCTTTTCTAGTGTACCAAGGGTACCAAGGAGTTTTCACACTAAGGTTGAGCATGTTCAGCGAGTATCTTGTGCCGGTCACTGGGACCCTACCGTCTGTGTCACCACTGTATAAAATGAAAACATTAGACCACAACCTCTTTATTTCCTAGTTCAATTTCATACATACAATTGTCATTTCTTCTCATCACAAAGGTATATATATATATAGTAGAGCCTTTGCATAGAAAAATACTGGTTAAAAAAGCTCTAGATACTTCATGCTCATTCATAACTTCTATTAATCTCTCTCTCCCTCTCTCTCATATATATATATATATATATATATATGGGTTTATCTAGAGTTAACAACCCTTTAAAATACAAAGGTTATAGTTAGACTTTTTTATTAAAAAATTATTTAAATAGGTAATATTTATGAAATTGCCCCACAAAAGTAACTTTTTTTAAAAAATAGACTACAAAATTAATAAATCCACCCTTCACACCATCCAAAGTTCATCATACAGTCACAATTTTCGGTAGCATTTGAGCTTTTATAATTTTTTTACTAATCAGATTTATCTAAAATTTGGGGCGTGTGTACTTATGACCAAGTCTCACCAAAATAAAATATTTAAAAAATAATAGTCATAAAATAAAATATTTCAAATTATTTGTTTTATATTTTATTTATGTACATTTCACAAAGGTGTGTACACCTACAAAATTTCAGATCATTATGATTGGTAAAAAAATATATTAAAATTCAAACAGTAATAGACATCTGTGACCGTGTGATAAACTTTGAATGGTGATAAATGTGTAATTGACGTACTATAGAATTTCACCTCTCTCTCTCTCTTTATATATATATATATATATATATATATATATATATAAGTACGATAAACAATAATATATTAGTACGTTAAAATACAAAGGACATAAAAGATCAGCCTACTAATTAAGGCAACTATTTAATAGCCATAGCTAATGAATGGGATATGGAAGGCTCATTAAGAAGCAGGTGAAGGAGAAGTTACGGGAAGAATTTGTCCCATAATTATGTGCTTTGGGAGAAGAAATGAAAAGAAATTTGAAGCTGATGAGCTAACTACTACTAGACAGGTTCGAAATTATTTGATTTGGGATAAGAATTTTGAAACTAAATTATGTGATTTGGGAGAAGAATTTTGAAGCTGATGAGCTAGCTATTGTTAGACAGGTTCGAATAGTACCAGTAAGGAGCAGGTGAAGTTAAGGGAAGAATTTGTCCCGTAATTATGTGATTTGGTAGAAGAATTTTGAAGTTGATGAGCTAGCTACTGCTAGACAGGTTCGAATGGTACTAGTTCATGTGACAGGTTCGAATAGTACTAGTTTATGTGTGAATAGATCCTGGTGCTGTGGTACTTTCAGTTAGATTTGTTGGCATGCAACATTGCAATAAATTAGTGCACAATGAATTCAACATTGTTTTGGTTTTTTGGTAAAGAGAAAAATGGGGCCAAAACAATTGGTAATAAATTATGAAGTTCAAATAGAAGTTCGAGAAAAATAGATGCAGTTATTTTAGATTTTTGCAAAAATTGGACTAAATAAAACAGGTCTAAATGTGTATGTTTTTGGGCCATTTGTGTGAGAAGGATTAGGGTCTACATGGGTATATTTTTAGGTGAATTTGTATGAGAAGGATTACTAAAACACTGAATTACAAGTAAAATAAATACTTGTCACCTCATAATATACATAATTGGTTCATAAATACCACTAGGATTTATTTTTAAATTTTCTTTTTATTTTGCTATGTCCTAATGTAGCATTATTTAGAGTACCCAAATTGCCCCTATTTAGAGTTGGAAATCCAAAGTAAATATAAACATTTTTTTTAATTAACCCACCTCAAACAAGCAAGGGCACTCATATCATTTGGTGGGCCCTTGGGCATGTCAAATTCTTCTGAAATGCCTTGATTGTTTCAGGTTAGACCGACCAAAATCTAGACAGAGACAAATTTGATATTTTCAAAAATAGTTTTTAAGGAGGTATATGGATAAATGAAAAATTAGAAAGTGAACCATAAAACGTTAATTGAGATATTTTGACCTCTTAATAATTTTGTTAAAGGTTTCATCCTTTGGATGATATTTTTCCAAATAATAAAAAAATAATAATTTGTCAGTCTCTTCCTTGATTAGATGGCATCTAACTGCCGGGGATGGTTGGGACTTATCATTCCTCCAAAGTTTGATGATTTTAAATAATAAAGACAAAATAATTTGTGTTCGGTCTTGCTTGATTAGATAGGATCTAGTTGCAGGGTATGGTTGGGACTTATCATTCCTCAAAAGTCTGATGATTTTAATGGTAGTTTGTTTTTTTTTTTTTTTTTTTTTTGTTTTTTTTTTGCGATAAATTAGCGGTAAGAATGGAACCTAGGATGTAATGTACTATTTTGGTCTTTATACATAATATAAAGTTGCTTTGAGTACTAATTACCTGTATACCAAAACCCTGATGCCATTCGCCATGAAGTCCTTTAAGAGGGGCAATATCGTGCTTGGGCTATCATTCCAATGGGTGATTATGTCACTGCAAAAATATATAGATTGTATTTAGAGCAGAAAGTTTTTCCAATTCACATAATACTTTGACAACAATATCTTATATGAGAACTATGAGACCATTCACTTTTGGCTACAAGAAGGTCAAAAATTTTCAAGCCATTGGACGTGAAATTTAACAAATGAAAATGTCTCACAACTTTCAAATAAATTTGTTTTGGACTTTGTAAAACACATCACCACCCATCCCATTTCACATCCAATGGACAATGATTGTGACCTTCTTGAGTAAATGGTCTCAAGATGTACATTTCCCAATGTTTCCCATTGTTTGGAAAATACGCAATGGACGCTCAGGTCCAAACTGTTCTTTATAACCCGTGGCTAGAAATCGTGCTTGGAGTATTTGTAGGGCTCTCAAGAAAATAATTCCTTCAAGAAAATAGTATATATGATATCTATTTTTCATATATTTTCCACTTTGAAAATCATCATTTTAGCTTTTTTCCAATTAATTGGCGTTGGCTACATGAATCTTGGGTCTCCATTCTCTATTAAAGACCATATAAAGAAAAATAAAGAAAAAAGGAATATGCACCTGCAAGCGCTCCAAGGATAGTTTAATCTGGTAACATTTGCATGGAAGGCCTTTTGGACTTCAGGAAGATTGAGGTAGTTATCCACATAATAATCAGTGCAAGGATCAAATTCCTACGCACAAACACGCTTTCATTAAGGGGCACTTTTGTCACCCACCTCAGGTTTTGATTCATGTCTATGATATAGTGTTTTAAAAACCAGGCCGATCAACTGAATCAGTTGTCGGGGGGGCCGAGCTGACGTGGCAGTTCCGAGCCAGCTCTACCGGTTCTCTAGGGCCATTTTGTATTGAAATACCAGGTGGCGAGTCCTCAAACCCAGATGATACCACTACCATCTTAGCCCACTGGTCATACCAGTTTTCAAAAACACTATTATTAGGCCATTTACATGAATACGATAAGAAACAAGCAGTAACATAAGCTAGTTGCACTAGTAGTAAGGCAGTGGGAACCACTTTACTGTAGGTTGTAAGATTAGAAATCTATAGCATAAATAAATGGGAAGTGCATACTGGATCCAATGATAATTAGTGGTGTAGTTGGGTTGGTTTAGGCAGACCTGGGCCCCTGGCTTGTCAAGCTAACGGGTCTTAGACCAAGGTCCTACCCAACATGATGGGCCATATAAAGGGGCTTGAACTTGGACCAGATTGATTCGGGCCTTTAAGGACCAGCAGACCAGCCTGACCCAAGTCTCATAAAATAGGGCCTATTCTGCCTTAATACAAAAGACCCATCCCTATGAAGAGGCCCTAAACAAGGGCCAACCCTTTTACACCTCGTTACAATATGGTCACGAGGGTCGTCACAGTTCAATCGGATGATTGGATGCTAAGGGAGTAATAACCCAAAATACAAATGGCATGATGACATTTTTGGTTAGACCCACTCGTCATCCATCATTGTGATGACCCTTACTGCTTCAAATATCACATGGATCATACAGTCCTACGGCAACACAAATACCAGAGCAGTAACAAAAATTAGGAATTCATTAGAGATGCAATTATAATAAATACTTATAAATATGTGAGTGGAATAACAACGAGTACCACACGCTTGTGGGGCTTGTGTGTGAAGCCAGAGAAGTTGCAAAGAGGGGCGTAGATGTTGTAGATATCGATAGGATTGACATTTTTGTCGGCCTCTCTTGCAGCATCATGGCATTGCTGATTTTGGCTTGTCGCGTTTGGTGAGAAATCACAATATTTGTGGATGGCACCAATGGTCTCATCTGAGATGAAAGCATGGTTCCAAAAGTAATCATACATTCCCGGTCCATCAGTTTCATCGTTGATCACAGCATTACCAATCTGGAACCAGAGATATCGACAGTCATGTTAGGAGAATGAAAAAGGTAATAGAGTTTTTAATATGGACCGAAAACTAATTTGTCAGCAAACATGCAAACATAGAGGAAATTAATTCAATTATGTCAAATAATGGGAAAAAAGTCCATGTGTGGACTTTATTAATCTCCTAAATGCCCAATAGAGGTTGTTATCTTACACCATAAGTTTTTAACTATATTATAGTACATGATGGTAACCCCCACCATCAATATTCAACCCAAGGTCCTAAAGATTATATGAGCTCACCGCAATGCCTTTGAGATTGATGATGGTTTTTCCGGCCTTCTGATTGTGACTAAGCACTTGGTAGGCGAGTTGTGGAACATAATGCCCTGCATAACTCTCACCCGAGATGTAGAAATCCCTGTTCTTGTATTCTGGGAATCGCTCGAACCAATTGATTAGAAAAGTGTAGGCATCAGATGCGGTTCTGCTGTCACCACTTAGTTCGTAATCAGAGGTGGTGTTGGAGTAGGAGAATCCAACACCTGCTGGGGACTCAAGGAACAACACATTTGCCGCTGCAAACCACATATATTCAAAATTTTAGATTCCTGAGATAGTAAGAGTAGTTGAGGTTCTGGTTCTACAAATTTGGGACGACTGTCTCATAGGAACATTTGCAGTCATAAGATAATTGCCAAGTAGTAATTAGTCCTACTGTAGGACTGATCTCCTACATAACAGGGCCATATCGAATAGATTATGATGAATTTGTTATTCGGTGCCCCCGTTGAACCACACTGTGCATTTGGTCATGTGGCAAAGAGATTTGTTTGAGCCTTGAGCTCCCAAATCATCTTATTACCTCTAAGATCACTTGATAAATGGGAAATAAAAAAGAAAATCGTAATTATCTCCAAAAAGATCAGTATACAATGAACAATGAGTTGGAGCTCTAAAAATGCTCTAAATCAATTGCCCCTCCAAGAATGACTTCAAAGTTATGGAGCAGGTTTTTCGAAGCTCGAATTGATTTTTTTTTTTTGGTAGTTCAGCAATAGAATTAATTAATAAATTAATTAAAATTTTAATCAATCAGATCAAATAAACATTACAGTAAATTCCTGTGGATAGAAATTTGTATGAGCTTTTGGAATGTGCTATAAAAGTGATAAAGAGATAACATGTTGTTGGGCTATTTGGAGCTAGTAACCGAGAGATTTATAAAGTTTCGTAAGCTTGCCGAAATCCAAATGTTTCCAGAAGAGAGTCGGAGAAGAAAGCCCAATGTACCTCTGTTCCATGCGTATCTGTTTTTGTAGAGGGTCTTGCCATCGCTATACACTCTAAATGGCCCCAACTCCTCCATCGCTCCATACCCAAGCGAAGAGCAACCAGGACCTGTTTCATGAAAGCACTCATATCATTCAAGAAGTGATAAATAAATGAAATAGATTATATAGTTCAGCCCGACCAATAAATTAGGTACTCTAGTCCATGAAGAACATGGTTAAGGAGGCCATTACTAGGTGAAAATTCTCATATCATTAATTTACTTTGTGAATAATTTCAAGAAAATTTTTTTTTTTCTCTGACGCTCTTAAAAGTTAAAACTTTTAATTACCATGTATATTCGATCGTGCACATTGGATTTAGAATTTAAATCCTTAATCACAAATATGGACCTTTTCCAATGTGGACATGGTAAAAAATACAAAAATATTTGGAGAATTTTCATATGTATGGTTATAAAATGAAGATATTGACCATATAATTGAATTTGATCCCCATTTGTTTCGAATTTATGTATTTGGACATAGAGAAACGACTCATTTGCCCCATCATTAAATACAAAGTTGGAATCAGACTTTAGATCTCCAGAGGAATCCCCCGGACTGACTCGGGAATTCCGAAGTCAAATGGGCAATTCCCGAGTCAGATATACACAAAATAAATAAAAAAATAAAGAAATTGTTGGAATTAGAGTTACCTAAATTTCAAGTAACAATGATTGATTGTAGCCTATTTGATTGGGTGCAAGTAGCATAATCAAGAGTGCTAATGGCAATCCTAAATTTCAAGTAACAATGATTGATTGTAGCCCACTGGTTTTTGCTTTGTTTTTTTGCAAAGGAATCTTCTTCTACAAAAACTTGCCAACAATAACAAGCCCCAATCTTTGTACGCCAAGGGACATATAATTAACGATGCAAGACAATGGCAGATAAGCAATGAAAGCTACGAGAGAATTTAGCTGCATAGCGTACTCCCCTGGGTGTGTACTGTAGACTTGTTCCCATTGGTCAAGCTTTGTTTAATCTTAAGATGCCAGGTTTTCCTGCCGCGTGCATATTTCCTTGAGGTTATATTGTCCGATCCTAAATATGGTAATTTAGGGGTGGAAATGGGTCGGGTCGGGTTCGGGGGTGGATCAAGACCCGGACCCAAAGTTATCAGACCTGGACCCAAACCTGATGGGGCCTGATTGGACCCGAACCCTCCCAGACCCGTTGAACCTTACCCAAAAACAAAAAGTATATATAACTTTAAATAATAGCATTATTCGGGTCAGGTCCAGGTTGGGTCCACACGAACTTGAACCCGGACCCAGACCCAAATAAGGTCCAAATTTTGGACCTGCCAGGTCCGAGTTTTAGGCCCATACCCAGACCTGGATTGGGTCCGGTTGTTGGATCCCAAGTCAAGTCTAGGTCCATTGCCGTCCCTATAGTAATTAACATGAGTGAGTGAATGGACCATATGGTCCCTCGGGGCAATATGATTTTTTTGCTTGGCTAAAATGAGGTGACAAGGATTGTGGATGTGGAGACCTAAGATCAACATAATAGCTTCCCAGACTTTTCATATAGGTCATGAAAGTAATGGCCTACCCAACTTCAATCAAGGCAATTAGTTTGAACATCTATTTTGTGTTGCTTTCTCCCTCTCTCAAAACATTGACAAGTTTATGGTTCAACACTAACCATATGATTTCATCCATTCAAACACAATAATGCTAAAACATAAGAAACTATTCTCACATGAGTAGCTTAAAGACTAACAACCGGCAGGTCACTAGCTTTGTCTTGGGACAAATCTCAAGGTTTTTATCACTCATTATTATTTACACTTTTGTTAAGATTTAGGTAGATCTCATACCATCGGCGCATATTGGAGTATAAACAATTTCATGATGATGTCTCACCATTATTCAGTGAATTTTAAATTGAGAGAGAGAAATACCTCCATTGAGCCAGAGGAGAAGAGGTTTAGTCGAAGGATCGGCGCCATCTGCCTCGGTGAGATAGTAGAAGAGGGCCCTCCTCGCCTGATCGTCCACGGTCACATAACCAGCATACTGCTTGAAATTCACACCCTCAGGTTGGCCCGGCAGACCACCAACAATCTCATCCTGCTCTTTGGATCCCTGTTGAGGCAACAAACGTGCGACCTCCTCAAGAGATCCCACTTTCTCACCGCTTATCCCCCCAAACAACTTAACCTTCATGAATTTCCTCAGGGCCTCTTCTTGCCCGGCTTCGCACGGGCCGAATCGGCCCGTGACAAAAGCCATTGACACAAGAAAGAGAAACACAAACCTCTTAAACCCTTCCATGACTGCAATACCTTAAGCTCTAATGGCTACCTTGGTTTTATAGGGCAAGTCTCTCCATGATATTGTAGCACTTAGGCTGGACCTTCTTTGTCCTCTTTGTGATTAATACTAATCATTTGTTTTTAAAGGATAAATACCTAATGATTGTGTCGCTCATCAAACCCATGAAAAGTTATGAATTGGATTAGGGAGGTACATTGGATTGTTTTCTCCTTCTTCCTGAACTTTCACACTAGATAACAATTTGCATTTGGAAGATTTAAGTGATAATAAAGATAACATTTTGTATTCGGAAGATAATTGAATTTAACCTTAAAATTAATCTATGTGTACCGTAAACCTTATCTATATATTATTTCCTAAACTAAACAATCTTTACCTTATGTTTGTGATATTCCCTAATCCAAAAAAATTAGGCCGTTTCCTTGAAAGGACTTGCTAATGACGTACTTCATTTATCCACACCCTCACAAAAAAAAAAGACAACTTATCCTAAGAAAAACGTGATTCAAAAAAATATAATTTTTTTTTATTTTTATCTTTTTTGCATCAATGTAGGGCATGAGACTTTCAAGTTAAGTTTAGAACATCATATAGGGAAGCTTTTTATTCTTCAAAAAAGAAAAAACAGGGGAAGAAGAAGCAAATATTATCTTTTTTGGAAGGAGAGGTATTTTAGGATAGGATAGTGAAAATATATGTATGTGAGATTTTAGAAGAAGTATATCATGTATGGACTAATTAAAAATATATGAAAGTGAAAATAAATGGATTCTAATGTGTATTAGGTCATATTTGTTAAATATGTAAGTCTTGAACAAAATAATAAGTTATAGTAACATATGACCAACAAAATATATTCTACTCATAATATTGTTAGGAGAATTGTTTCATGGTGGGGACCACATTTCTACATTTACGGTCCCTGAGGTATAAAGCACCCATCTTAAATATGGATGCTAGTAGGTGGTCCATCTAAAAAGAATTGAAACTAACGGTCCAAATATTTTCTTAATAGAATTATTATTTTTAATTTTTAAAATTTATTTATTTTTTTCATATTCATGATCTCTATGTTCAAGATTATCTGTCCTTAAAAATTCGGTAAAAAATTCCATCTCAAAAATAGATTTTTAAGAGGTCACTCATTTTCTACATGGACTCATAGAAACCGTGTTTATAATAAATAGTTATTTAACTAAATACTAAAGTATTATTATTTCAATAATAAAAATACATATAATGATAAGAACAATGATCTAGGTTAATAATACAATTACATATAAATATTACAATTATCTATTATGTAATTATATCAATAATTCGATAACAATATAATATTATAATAATAATAATAGTATAATATAGAAATATATTATCATAATATTAACAATTAAGAAAATAATAAAATGGTATTATATGTTGTTATTATATTATAATATCATAGTACTAAAAATTAACAATGATACTTATAGTTCATAACAAATATTTATTTGAATAAATATCTAAACGATCACTATTTCAATAGTACATATTTCAAATAACAACAACAACAACAACAACAACAACAACAACAATAATAATAGTATGAATATGAATGTTAGAACTGTATAATAACATGATAATATTATTATAGGAAAGGTTTCTATACTTTCCCTATAGCATAGAAGATCTATACTTCCCCTACCATCCAGCCGTCCAATTTTGATCAAGAGAGCCACTCATCGTTTGATCTTAGATCCGATGTCTCAAAGTATTTTATTTTTAGTTTTTTTATACAAATTGAATGAATATGAAATTTGGTATGTGCCATCTTTTCATTGGGGTGCACCTATAAAAAATATTAAAAATAATTTTTTGATAAACTATAATGACCAAAATACCCCTTAAAATTTTCAGAGGTAATTTGGTCATTTTATTTTATTGAAAATATATTTTTTATATTTTTCTCTAGTGCGAGTTTAATAGAGGATTGGAAGTACAAAATTTGGTATTAAAATAGTTCGTAGAAAATAAGTAAAAATAAAATAGTGTAAAGACGCGACATTGTGATTGCGACAATCTTAACCCTCCATTCAGAATGGATGGTTAGATAAGGGGAAGTATATAAATTTTATGTTGTATGGGAAGCATAGAAAGCTTGCCCGATTATTATTGATATAATATTCTAATAAAGTATTTCATATACTGTTTGAGGCGATTTTAAAGAAAGTGGAGTATTTCATACGACAGTTCTAAAAAGTGATAAAGAACAATATGGCTAGATAAAACGTACATCGGTTTTTAGTAAATGATTAGATCTTAGGGGAGAGTGAAAATTAAGAAGTAGATATTATATAATGAGACACTTGTACTCATACAGTTACATATCAATCAAATTATTAAATGTATTAATAAAACAATTATATTCTTTTTTAACATACCAATTGTATAATTATAGTTATAATATGATTTACATCATTATAATAAACATTACATTATAATGATATTTTTATACAAATTTTATAATTATTATATAAATATAACATTATTATAAACTATAATAATAAATTATATAATTATAATTTTATTAATTTATTATAAATTATATAATAATATACTCATGCAAATAACTGATAATTTTGTATAACTATGTATAACATATTACAAATTACATACTAATTTAATATTTGTATTTTTTTTTAGGTAATTCAATGGGGATAACGAGCCCCCATTTTTTAAATCGTTGGCTAGGTGAGAATGAATTACATACTAATTTATTACTTGTACATTTTTTTTGGGTAATTCAATCATTTTTGACATCGTTGGTTCGGTGAGAATGAATTACATACTAATTTATTATTTGTACATTTTTTTTGGGTAATTCAATGGAGGTAATGAGCCCCCATTTTTGAAATCATTGGTTAGGTGAGAATGGAAGCCTAACCATGACCCAAGCCCATTCTTTAATATTCTTTTATGATAATGTCATTCTCTAGCTCTTTCTAAATAAACATGTAGTCTATATTTAAAACGTACTTAAATTGATCTACTACGTGCAACATACGTAAATTAATTATATCAACATAAAAGAAGTACCCAAAATTTACTATATTTAAGATAAGAAAAAAGTTTTAAGGTTCTAGCAATGCAAGTATACTTATACTACAAAACCATTTCGTTTTTGCGCAAGAACATCAGATTCACTCTTAATCATTATTAGGCTAGACGTATTTTGCAAAGTGAGCAAAAAACATTTGAACTTTGAGGGTAGTCATGTTACAATCTTATTGATTTGATGATGCATCTAATAGTCAAGGGTGATTGTGATTTTCCTATAAAGAAAATAAACAATTTGATTTTGTAGATTCTCTTGACGTAATTTATATACGTAATTATTTTTTCTGGCTAATCACTGCCTTGTTGCTTTATTCTTATGAAGAAATCCTCCTAATTTTCTCCATTGCCCTTCTTACTCTTTCATCTAACCATTTAGTTCATTCAAGATATTTATTTATTTCGTATTTAGTTTTTATTAATCCTATTTTTATGGATTTAAATATAATAAAGTAGAAGATGAGACAATTTACTTTTGTGGCAACGAGGTCACACTCATTCCCAGCCATCAAATGAGAAGTTGTGCACAATGATAAATAATTTTTTTTCAGATTTTGGGATCCGTTGTTAGTGTCCTGATTTCAAGTAATATATGACATGGATCAATCGACAACACATCACACCGCACAAACTCCTCAGAGACTTTCCTAATTGAAAAATTAACTGAACAACAAGAATTAAGAAGAGTTTCACTACCACTTTGAAATACAAAATTTTGTATGGCTAAAGATGCGTCTTGCACTTTAACTTCAATGTCTATCACCTCTAGTGGCATGGTTTCTTTGCAAATCCCACATTTAACGACGATCGTGCCAACCTTGCCCTGAGTTATACATCTTGTGTGGAAAATATCAGAGGGAAGCCATGGCTCCTCTATCACAGAATATCAGAGGGAAGCCATGACTCCTCTATCACCTTCGAGGGTGATAATAATTGCATGGTAACAAGAAAAAAATAATACTACTTATCTTTTCTTTGTCAAAAAAAAAAAACAATTGGCCCCCATTGAGATACAGGTTAGCAACACCTAATGTTTTTTGACTTTGTAGCAAATTTTATGTCGAATCTTCAGGGCTTTAGAGGAATTTTTGCGCTTCAACTTCTCAAGAAGACTGACATATTGGGTTTTTATCTCATAGTGCTTATGGTGCCCTTTCAGAAGTTGGGTAATTATAGTGATTCAACATCGGAGCAAAACATTATAATCACATGAAGTTGAGGTATTTTTAGGGTTATTTTCAGAACGAATTTTTTCTTAATTCATTTTATCTAGGGAGAAAGTGAAGTTCGAGTTTAATTTTAATTGAAAGTTCTATTTACATTAGAATTAGGGTTAAGAGCTCTAATAAAGTCCATAAATAGGGGTTAAGTTAGTGTTTTTGTCCAGAATTGAATTACTGTTTCAGATACTTGAGGAGAGGTTATTGTGTTTTTAGTCAGTTTTTTGAGGAGAGCAAGAGCAAGGGATTATGTATGCATTTGTAGCCAAGGATAATTCATGTCTTATTTCTATTATTACCATTGTTATGCCTTTAATGTGGAGTTTGGGGATGTTGTGCCTGAGAATTTGCTTGATACTATCCCACTTTTGAGAGATTCAAAATTGTATTGATTTGATCTCCAATGCTACACTTTTAAACATAGGTAGGTAACTAAGTTGTTAAATAAGAGATTTACTAGAGTTTGAGTCCTTGTGCTATTCATACCCATTTAACATCAAAGAAAAATGGTTCTCGGTATATGTGTGGGAAGATTGGGTAGGTACATCAACATAATTATTATGAAGTACTGCTTTCCTATTCCTCGTCTTGATGATATTGTAGTATATATTGTCGGATTCCAAGGTCTTATCTGAAATTGATTTCAAGATGATCATTAGATTCATAATCTGGTGCATAACAGGCGCCTGCAAAGGAGAGATCCAAGATCGATTCTACAACAACTCGTTGATCATGTTGGTCAATCAATAAGAAGAAAAATTACTTGAAAGGGAAAGGAACATTCGCCTTTCCAGCCCTAACCATGCCACTGCTCCAAGTGGGGCTGCACCTCTACAAAAAGTAGGGGTCGTCTCTACTACACCAGAGTAGGAGGGAATATTTTCAATTTCATTAATCAAAATACAATTAACTACTACTTCTATTACATCAACGTATAATATCTTGATACGATCAGTATCCATTCAGGAGATGAGTGGAAGACCACCTTTAAGACCTAGTAGGTTTCTTATGAGTGGTTGGTGATTTAGTTTAGCTTGTCTAGTGCCTCGAGCAGCTTTTTAAGCGACATGAATTAGGTGCTTCATCCTTTTATTGAAAAACTTGTGGTTGTATATTTTGATGATATTCTTGCTTACAAGGCTGTGACAGGCTCTGGTCCGTCCTAGCCCTATAGGCATAGACGCTTGCAATCCATATAAGCCTTCGAAGTTAATAGATGGTGTCTCATGATCATTTCTTTGTGATATTAATGGGTTTGAGGACTCTAGTGCTCTTTTGTATATATATTTTTCCTTCTAATGTTTTCCTTTGTGATGCTAGTGGATGGGAAAGGTGAAGTGGTTGGAGTTACAGGACCTGCGATTTTTGTATTGTGAGTTTTTAGATTGTTATGTCGTAGTGTTCTTTGGATCTTATGTATAAATAGATCTTGATGCCCATCAGATGTTATGTTTGAGGTAAAATAATGAAACTCTAAGCATTTGTTTGTGTGTGGGCTGTGGGTCTCTCTTTCTCTCGTCATTTCTTCAATGAATGTTTAAAGTCCTTATTTCATAAATGGCATTTAATGGTATGTTAATTTCGAATGGAGATAGTCATTTCTGTTGAATGTTTCCGATAGTGGTTTAGAAACCAGTGGTTTGGAATGAGAATAGTCGAGCTGGACCGAGAATTGGCCCAGACCTACCCCATTCTTTATCACAATAGGGATTCAGTCCATTCCTGTGGACTCACCCAGTTCCACCAGGGAACAAGGTGATTCAGACCATTCGAATGGCACAATTCCTATACATTATACTTTTTCATTTCTTTAGCATTCTTATTTTTTCAAAATTTTTATTTTTTTTTATGGACCAATTCTCAAACTAGAGAATTAGTCCAATTTGCTGATCTGGATTGGCTATTCGCCAATCCAAATCGATTTTCCAGATGGCCAATTCGCCGATGTGGGTTTCTGAACACTACTTTTGAATCCTATCTCATGTGTTATTTCATGTTCTATTAACTTTAATTGAGATGGGTTTTCTTGGATGATATTTGAGGTGTAAGTTTTCAAATAGGGAGACAGAAATTTAAAGCAGGATGTAATAACCATGAGTCTATTGGCTAAAACTTTGATCATATAATACCCATTCAAGGTTTATGTATTATTCTTCCTTTAAAGAAAATTTGTAGCACCCAGCTTTTAAATTTTCAGCCCTCCTGTAAGTACCAAACTATGAGAGAGAGAGAGCCTAATCCACTGTGGAGAGAGATAGTAGAAAGAGAGTTCAAACTTCAAAGAGTAAATAAATTGCACATCTTAGATGCAAGAGAGTAAATCAACTGCCCATCTTTAATGCAAAGGAGAAAATAAGCTGGGCATTGTGTGATGCTGAGCATGTCTATGCCTGTAAGTGGACTGTACAATTCATCCTGTAAGCCAAATCATATGAAAGTGTTCTGATTTCCCTTCAAGCTCTCTTTACATGCATTGCAGGTTTACTAAGAAGGCAGGGGCTTCCCCTTGAGGAAGGCATTAATGAGGGTAAGAGATCTCGCGGGTTGGTAGCTAGGGACCTCATGGCCTGCCCCTCTGACAGTAGCGAATGTCAATCCGCCCTTGTATATCACACTATACCCTCCAACCTGCAGACATAAAGAAGAAAAAGAATTTTTTTAAATTCCATCGTCACAATTACTTCTAGCTATTAGATGTAAGACTCGCTAGCTTGGGTTGTGACACAAAGTTTGAGATTTCTGTTTTTTTTTTTAATTTGAGCCTAGTCAATGACAAGCCAATGGAGGAGTGATTGTGACCTCCTAGTACTAAAAGTAAATGGTCTCTTTGTATATTTTTTCTTAATGGCTTAAGAGAATTACCTCGCCTTTGGTGTACCAAGGGTACCAAGGAGTTTGAATTCCGAGGTTAAGCTTGTTCACTGAGGACCTTGTGCCGGTCACTGGAACCCTACCGTCCGTATCACCACTGCATGAATAAAGATCATGAAATTCGGTTGAAAGTTAGGAACATTAATTGTCAGTAGAAGTAGAGAATAATGCATTTATTTTCAAAGAAGTTTAGAAATTTTCAGTCAGAATTGTTCAGTAACACATCCAGTGACTTGCTCAGTAGTACTAATTTAAAGTCACACAAATCAGAATTAAATTATAGCTAATCTTCCCACACTGAGTCATTGACAACTTAGGAGGAAGTTTTGAAATTGAATTAAAATAAAGGTTGTAAATTAAGGTGAGGATTACCTGTAAACCAATACCCGGATTCCACGGGCAATAAATTCCTGTACTAGGGGCAGGATCGTATCTACGGTATCGGCCCATGTGGAGATGACAGAGCTACAAAGAAAAACATAAATAAGAATATAATTACAATTATCTAGAACTACATATTCATGGGAAAGTACGGTATATACAACAGCCTGTGTTGGTATATTGAACAAAAGACTGAACATCTCAGACAATTGTCATATGAGCTATTGCACTAAGCAATGTCATCCACCATTGATGAGGACTTCCTTTAATCCTCACCATCCAATGATAGGGATGGACCGAGGATGAGAGCACTGAGCACTATATATTCTTTAGTGGTGTATGGTTAGAAATCTCTATATGGGCTTCCTTAGTTTAAGGGCAGGGAATAGCAGAATTGTGCCAGTGAATGAATTTACATCATTATTGGTATTTTTAGGAGTTCTATATTTTATGATACAACTAATGAAGTTTCCAAATTTCCCCTTTATCTTATTTCAGTAATTTTTGATAAAAAATTATTATGTAACCCATGAACAAATGAAATAACAATTTACGGGACGAAAAAAATGAAGAGATACATAATCTAGGAAAAGTAGCCTTTTAAGTAGGGTCTCAAATGCAATTGAAAATTCAAAATGAGTGTACTACTAACATCTTTAGATTGTGAAATAATTTTTTTTTGTTTTTGTTTTTGAGGAACATTCGATTCCGAAATAATTGTTGTTGATAAACTATGCACAAGGGTGGTAAACCATGACTTCAACCACAATGCCACTTATATGCCCCAAGATTTTCAAAGTTCGACAGGGTATGAGATATACATCTATTAGGTGTAGTTTTATAAGGTGACAATTGTAGTTGTAGAAGTAAAGTTGCGATATTCTATTTTAGTTAGTCAAAACTATAAAAAAAAAAAACAAAATATAGCATCAAATCTATACTGTTCAAATAAAATAGATGATGCGAATAAAATGTTTACCTGCATCCGCTCCAAGGATACGGTAAGCCAGTAACATTAGCATGGAAGGCCTTCTGAACCGCAGGAAGATTGAGGTAATTTTCCACGTAGTTACTAGTGCAAGGATCAAATTCCTGAGCATAACCACTCTTTCATGAGAGAGAGAGGGGGGACAAATTGAACAAAAAATGATAAAAGAAGATATTTTAGAGAGAGAAAGTATAGTGTAGAGAGAGAGAGTATAGGTGTAGGGTACCCATCGCCTAGAACAGCGGTGGGGCTTTGTGAGGACAGCGGAAATGCAAAAAGGGGCATAAATGTCGTAAATGTCGAGTTGATCGAAAACTTTATTGGCCTCCGAGAGCGAGGCGTTGCACTGTGAGTTCGATGAAGAGTTTGGAGCGAAATCGCAATGCTTGCGGATGCCATCGATTGTTTCATCAGAGATGAGAGCGTGGTTCCAAAAGTACTCATACATTCCTGGACCATCTGTTTCATCGTTCATCACAGCGTTGCCCATCTGCAAAATGCATCCCAGCTTAGAGTGGGCACTCCATCTTTCTCTCTCTCTGCATTAGAGAGAGAAAGAGAGGCTAAATTCATTCTCTCTCTCTCTCATGCGCACAAAAATTAACCAGGCACAAGAAACCTATATATCATTCTTTGAGTTCACTTTCACTTGTTTCTTTTGATTATTTTATGATTTTCTATGGGAAAAAGTTTATATAGAGCCCAGGCTCTAAATAATTAAATTAGAGCTCACCTCAAAAATTTAACTAGAAAAGATTGTTTTGAAGCCCAAATATCCTCAAATTGATCTCTCAACATTAAAATGCATAGACATAAGAAAAAAATGAATTTCAAGTTTTAGAAATAGTGCATCTTGTAACGCATTTTTGGACTATCAATTTCAAATATTATCAACTTTTTATAGATATGCTTGGTCTACATTATTTTTGAAGCTTTAAATTTTATAATTAAAAATAAAAATGTATTTTAAGGCTATCTCAAAAATTTCATGTATTAAAACCTCATTTCTCATCACTATTTGAAGGTGTGCTTTACTTGGATTGTTTAGAGCCTCGGCTCTATACAAATCACACCCCTACGTATCCATATTTTTCTCTTATTTATTTATTTTTTATGATTTTTGTCTCCCATCACTTTCTCTTCGTCCATCACGCGCATGCGCACGCACAATTGGGTTCTATCCGTCCTCCACTTATGGCTTCTTGGACGGATGGTTTATCTTTGACCATACCATGATTTGATAGGGCTGCAGCCATATTCAAATAAGTAAAGCCTCAACTCATAACGTATTGAAATTTGGAAAACCTTTATATCAACCATCTCGAACATTATGTTATGTCTGTAGAAGAAGTTAGGATTTCAAGCTTTAAAAATAGTATATATTATAACAAATTATCTAGACCATCCATTTTTCTCTAAAAATAAGTGTTAAAAGATCTATAAGATCTATACTATTTTTTTGGATTTCGAATATCATTGTCAGTGTCAGAAATTGATTTTATAGTCATTATAGATATTTTTGTTATGAAAAGTGGAGGATTTGAGGTGAGGCTTTATTTTGTTCCATAAAGCCTACGCCTTATAGAAACTTTATCCTTTTTTCTTTACCGCCCTTTTCCCCACTTTAGAGTCTACAAGTACGTGCCTTTGTGTTTGACTCCCTTTTATCTTCTAGATGACCACTTTCCTCACTTTATCCTTTTTGTTTTTCATAAATTTATCAATATATATAAGTAAAAGATGCACTAATCAACATTGTACTCATTTTCTTTGACTTAATTTTAAAATACTCATCAAAATCACATGACCATGTTGTTAAATAGTTGATAAGTTGGATATATTTTGATAATTTTCCCTTTTTATTGAAGTAATTGACTTGTCGAATACTTAATTCACTTCAACTCATCTTAGCAACAGTATAATGGTTCAAGAATTTCCTATATTGTTTTCAATAAGTTAAAGGGAATGGTCGTTGCTCACCGCTATGCCTCTGAGATTGATTAAGGCTTTTTCGGCCATCTGGTTATGCCTGAGCACTTGGTAAGCGAGTTGTGGAACATAGTGCCCTGCATAACTCTCACCAGATATGTAGAACTCCCGGTTCTTGTATTCTGGGAATCTCTCAAACCAGTTGATCAGGAAAATGTAAGCATCTGATGCAGTTCTCTGATCGCCGCTAAGAGCATAATCAGTGGTGGTGTTGGAGTAAGAGTAGCCAACGCCTGCTGGGGACTCCAAGAACAAAACATTTGCCACTGCATACATCACACGATTAGAAGATAAGGGCCTCTTTCTCTCTCTCTGAAGTAAATATAAATACCTCTCTCTGACTTAATATATCAGAAAATAATGCTCTATCTAAGAGAAGGGAGGAGGAGTTGAATTTGTAACCTTTGTTCCATGCATATCTGTTCTTGTAGAGTGTCTTCCCATCACTTTGAACTCTAAAGGGTCCCAACTCCTCCATTGCTCCATACCCAAGTGAAGAGCACCCTGGACCTGTACACAAAATTATACAATTTAACACATCTGAACTGCAAATTACAAATATATATATATATATATATAGTCGAAGCACCACTTAAGATTCATATTTTTACTTTGGACACGGTTTCTATGAGTCAATGTAGAAATGAGTCACATCTTAAAAATATATTTTGGAGATGGATTTTTAAACTTAATTTTTAAGGACATGTAATCTCTAACATGGAGATCATTAATATGAAAAAATAAATAAAATTCAAAAATTAGAAATAAAATTTTTATTAAAAAAATATTTGGACTGTTAGTTTGAATTGTTTTTAGAAGGACCACCTGCTTGCATCCATCTTTAAGATGGATGCTTCATACCTTGGGACCGCATTTCCAGTATGAAACGATTTTCTTTTTACTTTAATTGTTAAACCTAATAGGAAATCACTCTTTGGGCTACGACTAGTTATTTTTCGGCATAGTGAGAATCATGGTTCCTAAAAACAATTGTAATTTCTTTTAAAAAAAGGAGGAATTGAAATTTATTGATTCAGTTTTAAAATTGTAAGGGATAAATTTAAAAATAAGAAATAAATATTTTTTATTATTAAAAGCAAATTTTTGAAATATCTAGATATTTTTTTTTTCAGTTTTGAAACTAATGTGATGGTTCTCTTTCTTGAAGAACTTATTTGAGATAATTGCACTCAGCCTTCAAAATAAAATTTCTAACTCTTAATTTTTATGTTTCTTGTTAAAAGGAATCTTTTAGTAGAACAGTACAAAAACTGAAGAGTCATCTTTAGTGGGTTGGGAAGGAGCAACACTGAGGGCCCCAAATCACATGGCAGACAAAGTGTAAAATTTTTCAATGAGGGCAAAGAAGATTTTGTGAAAAAGGACCACTAGGAAAGGGAAAATGGAGAGCAGAAAATTAAAAGAATAGCTCATCTATGAAGGTCATTGTTGCACGTGGAAGTCTTCCATTAATATGCCTTTTTGAGTTAGAACATGGAAATTTTGTCTCTTATTATTATTTAGGGGTCTATCAAACTACGAGTACCCATGGGAAAAATGTGATTGTAAAGATTAAAGAACAATAAAATTTGTGCCCATGGGATGATTTGAACCCTACTTCAGAGAGAGAGAGAGAGAGAGAATGAAACACTTTTAAAGTGGTCCAAATGCTTTTGGAAATGTTCAACATACCCATCACCCTTGTCTATTTTTTAGAATTTTTTCTTTCTCCAGGCACTCATCATCATCTATGGAAATGGAAGGAAACAAAACACATAACCTCTTTTGATTACAAAACCCAAACTTTGGTGGTGATCCTCTCTTTCACATTTTACTTATCACTATTTAGATCTAATGGTCCGTGTAAAAATCACCATCTTCTAATGGTACTTTGATGAAAAGCCCTAAAAGTAATAATAGCTTTCTTTGACAAGGCAAAGAAAATCAATGGCATGCATTGATTAATAAATGTTTATCTAAGTTTCTAAACAAGGGATACTTCCCCAACTATATAAAAGTTATATATACTCTCTCCCATCAAGCCGTCCAAATTGGATCAAGTGAGCTACTGACCGTTTGATCTACATCTGACACGTCATAGTATTTTATTGTAATTTTTTTTACAAATCATATGAAAATAAAATTTGGTACATGCTATTATTTTAATGGGAAGCACCTAAAAGAAATATAAAAAATATTCTCGATCAAATAAAATGGTCAAAATACCCCTAAAAATTTTAGAAGTATTTTAGTTATCTTATTATTATTTTTTTGCAGTGTGAGTTTAAGAGATGAATGAACGTCCAGGTGTCAAATATTTTTTGAGAAAAAATTAAAAATAAAATAGTGTAAAGGCATTACATTGTAAATGAGTCCATCTCAGCTATCTATTTCTATCGCATGGCTGGACACGAAGATTATATGACTTCTATATAGTAGGGAAAGTATAGAAAGCTTTCCTAACTCTAAAAATTCGGTGTGTTCTTTAATAAATGTGTCTAAACCATAGTTAGACAGTACGTGTATACAAGAAGTAAGCATTAATTGATTATTTCAATAGAATCAGAGCCGAAAAAGGGGTCTAAACCAGAGCACAAAACATAATCAGGATTAGAGTTGAGGTGGTAGCACCACTTGAGATGCAGGTTTCAATTTGAACCGACTCATTCGACAACCACTATTTCTAAAATAGGTAGGGGCTTGTATTCCCCACTGATCTATCAAAAAAAAAGAAAGACAACTTTCAAGAAAACAAAGAATTTCTAAAATAAGTAGGGGCTTGTATTCCCCCAAAAAAAAAAAAAAAAGAAAAAAAAAAAAGGCAACTTTCAAGAAAACAAAGAATTTCAATTAGCAATGTAAGGAATAAAAAAAAAACGAATTTGAAACCTTGTTGCCGGTAAAAGGGGATACATTTTATTTTGTAAATTGACGAAAACCAAGAAGGATAAGCATTTTTTTGAAACTTCTTCCTTGTTTAAATTGTGAAATTTCTTCCAAAACTCTGATTCTTTTCAAGTAAAATAGAGTTTAAGAAACTATTTCCCAACTAAAGTGCATCATTTTATTGTATGATATTTATACTGTGTACAAAAAAAAGGAAGGTAGGAACAGGTGCATCGTTCCTTCAAGCATACAAATCAAACTCCAAATTTTACCTACGGATCACAAAAAACTAATTGTGATCCGTAGGTAAAGTTAGGGGGCATGCTCAGAGAGAGATATCCCGAAAACATCGGTGTGTGAGAGACTGAGAGGGATACCCAAAATGAGTGTGTATGTATGTGTGAGAGATATACCTCCATTGAGCCAGAGGAGAAGGGGCTTAGAGAGAGGGTCAACGGCCTCAGCGAAATAGTAGAAGAGCGCCCTCCCTGCCGTCTCGTCGAGGGTCACATAACCAGCATACTGCTTGAATTCCACACCCTCAGGCTGACCATGCAACCCACCAACAATCTCATCTTTCTCTTTCAACCCGTGCTGAGGCAGCGCACGCGCTACCTCTCCAAAAGACTCCCATTTCTGCACCATCTCGACCCTCGACTCCCCCGTCATTTTGGCCTTCATGAGCTTCGTAAGTGCCTCACCCTGTCCGGCCTCACACGTGCCGAAATGGCACATAACAGTGGCCACTGAAACAAGTGAGTAAAATACAAACTTCCTTAAACCTTCCATGGCTGCAATGCCTGAAGCTCTAAGGGGTGCCCTCGTTTTATAACACAGGCCTCACCCTTATTTATCTCTTTTTTTTTATTTTTTCCTAAAATGAAAAAAATAGGATTATGGTTTTTTTTTTCTTTCTATTTTTAAAAGGAAGTTAATTCACTAAATGGTCTAAGTTGATCAGTATGAGTCCTCGAGATTCTTGGATGTATCCGTTTATCTTTTTCTTCATTTTTCTTCGGAGAAAAAATCGATGGTAAATAGGAAGTGGGGTGTTTTCTCTTCATTAAATTGGATAGTGAAAATTAAATTCTATTTTAATAAAAAATAAAAATATTATTTTCCATTTCTTATCTGTTTTGGGGGCGTTTTTCTTTATTAAATTGGATAGTGAAAACTAATTTCAATTTTTAATCAAAATAAAAAGATTAGTTTCCATTTGTAGTCCGATGCTAAATAGAAAGTGGGGTGTTTTCACTTCATTAAATTGGGTAGTGAAAATTATTTTCAATTATTAATAAAAAAATAAAAAGATTAGTTTCCATTTCTAATTCGATGGTACGTGGGGTGTTTTCTCTTCATTACATTGGGTAGTGAAAATTATTTTTTATTATTAATCAAAAACAAAAAGATTAGTTTCCATGTTTTGGGGGTGTTTTTCTTCATAAATTAGGTAGTGAAAATTAATTTCTATTATTAACCAAAATAAAAAGATTAGTTTCCATTTTTAATCTGTTTTTTTTTTCTATATATGGAAGCTGGTGCGGTCCACCCATATTGTTAGCTACAGTTACGCTGAGTCTGGACCCTATATTGGTTTCTACATTCTCCAAAAGGTTGAAGAATATACCTAAAATGAGATTATGGAATCAAGAGAATTTGTCCCAAAAAAGAAAGAAAACAAACATTATAAAAAAAATCTGAGTGCGAAAGCAGTTGCGCGACGTTTTTTTGCAAGGTAAAAAAAGTAAATCAACGAATGCAAGCAAGAAAATTGATGCTCGTTAGCGCCCTTGCTTCTTGCAAGAAAACGGATGCGCTAACGGCGCTAACGCCCCCTTGCGTCTTGCTTTCGTCGGTCGATTTGTTGATCGCCTCCGCCCCTGCTGCCATCTCTGCTGACGAATTTCTCTTTAAACAAACATTATAAAAAAAACAAAATGAAACCCTAATATTAGGTGATCTGGTGAAATTGTTATTCCTATTTTGTTAATTTGTACGAATTAGAGGGGGGGTAGTTCCACTTAGCTTTCTTCCACGGAATTAATAAAGTTACTTAACTTTCTTCCAAGACACAATAAAGTTAATTAGCTTTTTTCCACTACATGGAAATTTTGAATCTTATGTAATAAAGTTGTAAACCTTGTTCAAACAAAATCGGTTAAAGGGATGATTTGACTGTTAGAAGGTTGAATTGTAAATAAATGAAAAAAAAATTCCCACACTAAACTTCTCTATAATTGGGTCGGGTAGACCTATGGACCCGGCGGTCTCACTTGAACTTTGCCCGGCAGAATTTAGAAGCTAGAAGGACCATGATTCAGCTTGACTGCCGGTAACAACATGGGTGGATTGCACCCAGCTCCAAAAAAAAAAAAATAAAATAAAAATAAAAAAAAACAAGAAAAATAGAGGAAAAGTAAAAGTGTAACTATTTATTTTTGGTATGAGGAGTTCCCAATATGGACTATTAGATGTGAAATCAAGGGGCTGGGCATATGTCAATGACTAAGCATAAAGTCCAATATAAAAGTTTTTTAATGTTGTGACCAATATTAGAAAATATGACCTAGGAACGGAACCCAGCTGTGGGCCAGGTCCGGGTAATCCATAACCGGCCCGGGTAATCAGGCAGTCCCCGGACGACTTAAAAGAATTTAAAAGAATCTCAAAAAATTCCAAAAAAAGAGAGTAGAGTATGTTTAAAGTATAATTAAACAAAATGTATCTGAATGAATGAGATAAAAAAGTAGTGAAAATTAGATTTTGAAAAATCAATTTGTGCCGAGGGATATTTTAAAAACAATCCAAACAAGATGGGAAAATGTACAAATAAGTATTTACGGCCAAAAGACTCCCCAATCTGTTCCAAAACATAGAACACATAAAAAAATTATATTTCAAACAAATTTCTTATTTTTTATTTTGTATTATTCTTTTGAATTTTTCTTAAGTTCTAGGCTCGACCACCCTAATCAGCCATGGCCAATGGTCGCTCCCGGGTAACCCGGCTGGGTCTTAGTTCCAGTTTTGCAAACACTAATTGTGTCCTGCTTCAAACTAACAAAATTCACATCCAATGACTAAGACTGATTATGTCGTCATTATACCAAAAATGAATAGTCTTATAGTATGCAATCTAAAAAAAATAAAAAACACATTAGAAATAGAAGTTACCCTTATTAATTTGACTAATAACTCACTAAAAAAGGTGTTTGGGCTAGAAAACTGTTCAATTGGTCATCTTGACATGGGGAATATGAATATGAAAATAATGGATTTTGAGTCCTTAAAATAGTGCGTTTTGTAATATATGATTTGGACCATCCATTTTCTAAATTTTTAAGCATTTATAGATCTATTTGACTTATAGATCTGATTTATCTACACCATTTTAGACCTTTGAATTTCATAATTAGGGAAAGAAATAGATTTAAGGCCGTCGCAAGGATTTTCAGCACCAAAACTGCATCTTTCGACATGGTTTGGGGGTGCATCTTACTTTGATTATTCCTGGTTCACGCCTTACATAAGCCTCATCCAAAATAATGTACGATGAACGATTAAAACCACGGTTTTATGGAATCCGTAACCAAAACGTTCTTTTTCTATTTTTCTTTTACTGATGGTTTTTTCTCGTTCTGGTTTGTGCATGATGAAAATGAAATCAGCGAGATTCCATTTCGAAGTTACAATCTTATCTTACATATCAATATTCAATAAAAGAAAATTGTTTCATGCGAGCTGGACCTCATTTCTACATATGCCGTCAAGAAAGTGTAAAGCATTAAAGATGGATGCAAGTAGGGGTTTCATCTAAAAACAATGGAAACTAACGGTCCAAATGTTTTTTTACTAAATTATTATTTTTAATTTTTAAAATTTATTTATTTTTTCATATTCACGATCTCCATGTTAGAGATTATATGTCCTTCCATCTTAAAAATAAATTTATTAAGAGGCTTACATTTCTACATATGCTGGCTTGGCCGCATAGAAACCGGTTCCTTCAATAAATTCCGTTCATTTGGCCTTTGATATGGCGATCGTGGAAGACACCAATGCAATTCACATACCTTTTAACTAATTCTATAATGGAGATATCCCAAAACCTTTTTAAGAGACCCCAACAATTAGGCATATGCTACCGATGCTAAAGGTTTTTTCACATTTTCAGAGTCTGATGCTCCAGGCCGAAATTCTGCACTGGCTCTAATTTTTTTTTGTAAAATACAAAATGCTCCTTTTATAGGTAGAAATTATAAAGAAAGCCAACCAATCTTTATTTTTTATTTTTATTTTTCAAAATTACCCATTAGTTTGAGGATGGAATTCTTAATCCAATTTTTTTTTTCTTTTAGTTTTTTAGTTTTTTTCATTAGTAGGGGAGTGCCCCATGCTTCAGGGCAGTTCCCTGCTAATGAAAAAACTAAAAAAAATATATTAAAACTTTGGTCCGAGAATGTCCTCGGATCAAAAGGCAATTTTGAAAAAAAGAAAAAGAAAATAGGGTTGACCGACCTTTTTTGTAATTTCCACCTATTGGAACCTTTCATATTTTAATTTTTTTTTTGGGTTTGTATGTAAATCAGTCGTATCTTTCATCGATTGGAGAGAGAGAATAAATGAGCTTTTTGCTAAATATGTTCATCTGTTTCCTGAATGTGATTTAAATATTTTTCATCCATTTGCATGCTGCAAATGGCAAACATTGGTGGGTTCCAGATTATAATACTCTTTGAGCTCCAAATTTAGGAGGCATCGCATGTTCTGATTTCTTTTTGTATAAATGCCAAATACCTTGCTTCTTATATATTTGATTAATGGAAAATCAGTTAATGATTTTTTTGGAATCATCTCTTGTGCAACACCATGTACAATTGATGTTTAGAAATGGATGAAGTTTTTACATGTCTTAGGCTTTATGAAAACAAAATAAAGCCTCACCTCACTTCCTCATTTGAAAAGCACTTTTGACAACAGAAATCTCCTTCAGGACTCTAAAATCAATTTTCAACACAAGCAATGAAATTTGAAACTAAAAAATGTACTGATATTACGGATCTTTGAACACTTATTTTTAGGGAAAAATGGATGGTCAAGATAATTTGTTACAATATACACTATTTTGGAGCTTGAAATCTTAATTTTTTTTGACAACCATAATATTCTTGCTGAGATGATCGATATAAAAATTCTCCAACATTTGAATTGCAATATTTGATGACTTATGAGGTAAGGCTTTAGTTATTTGAATGGGACTACAACCCTATCAAACCATCTTCCTAAGAAAATTTCTGAAGAAAATGTTGGTTAAGCTTTGGATAGTCTACGTGAGGACACCTTAGCCTTAGCACTGCATTAATTTCTTCTTTGTTTTCAGGTCACTAATTATTAATAACTTAATAATAATAAGTGATCTGAAAACCAAAACACAATTCCTCAATTAATAATAATAATCAGTGATCTAAGAACCAAAATCGACTACCAGCTCAATCACTTGGAAACCTAAATTTGATCGACGGTTTGGATTCAAGTCAGGCTACTCAATTGGACCTAAATTGGATGAGCAGTTTCGATCCAACTTAGGCTACTCGATTGGCCCGGCACTACGGGCCCAAACAAGGTTAGAAAATCAACAAAAATTGATAAAAAAACAATTTCGTGTGGTTTGTGAAAATGGTGGTAATGTTACATATTTTGATGCAATTATCAAAAATAGTTAAATACACAGAGTTCGGTACTCGTTTGAATACTACATAATCATTTCACAAGCTAAAATAGAGTTAGTACTGATTTATTTACCTAAA